GGGGGGGGGGGGGGAGAGCTGGTTACTCAGAGTTCGCAGTAGACGTTTATATTTAGCTGGAAGGAGGAAGAGTGGGGGTCAAACGAGGAAAGGAGGGGTGCTGTTTGTCATAATACACTTATCCAGTCGCTGAGAGGTGTCGGGGGTCGTCAGGTGTCCTTTTAGGATGGAGTTGTGTTTCAAAACCGAGTCACTGCAGCTGTGAAATATAGCTTCTGCTCCCTGCTCTAGAAGTTTCCCTCATGCGATACATACACACATGATATGCCGTAGAGCGTTTGCCAGGGGGATACCGGGCATTCCTGTGTATTCAACTGTGCACACACACATGTGGCATATGTCCGCGCTCCAGGGGTCGGCTGGCAGTTAAATAAAGCAGCGCGCCAGAAGTGAAGGAATGAGAGAGGGGCAAAGAGGGAGGGAGAGCGAGAGAATGGCAGAGGAGAAGAAGGAGAGGGAGGGGCAGACAGATTTATTTCCACAGCTGAGTGCTGCCCCTCTCCTCTATGTGGATCTCGGTTAGACAGTTGAAAATAGTGGCGAGAAACAAGGGGGAAGACTGTGGAGAAGAAGGGAATAAACCAAGTGCAGGAGGAGGACTGTGGACATGGATACCCTCGCACTAGAGGCCACCAGCAGTAAAAAGCCGGCTAACGGGGCCGTGGTGGGTCCCCCGGTGCCGGTTCAAGCCCCTGTCAAACGCAAACCTGCTAAAAAAGCTAAAAAGGCTGTTGTTTTCTTTGAGGTGGAGATACTGGATGCCAAGACCAAGGACAAGCTCTGCTTCCTGGACAAGGTGAGAACTTATTTCTTCTCCTCATGTATTTTTGTTCATCTTGATTTATTTAAGGTTAAGTATGCTTTTCTAACTTCAGCACTGCAAAACATATTGTTTAAACACTGTATGTGCACATTGAATTGTCTTTGTGCCTGTGTTGTTATCTGTCTGTTTACTAAATGCAACAGGTGCACTATGTCTGGTCCTGCATTACAGTGAAATATCTTTGTTTGTGAGTCAGGTATTTTCTAGAACATGGTTGAGCTGCTGTAGCTGTAGCCCTTGCTGCTTGCTGTCTGTCATTAGGTGTGTAACTGGCAGTAAGGAGACACACACTGGAGCCCCTTCTTACGCATGTGACACACCACTGCTGGGTTCAGTTATCTGGATAAGGAAGGGGCTTTTGGCACACACATACAGGGAGCGGACACAATATCATCAACTGCTGTGCGGTTGTGTGAACCAATACGACACTTTCCAACAAATCCAACCTTTGAGAAGTTTACAAAGTTAACTTTGCATTGGGATTCTGTTGGAGAGTTGCTGTATGGGTCCATATTCATTATAAAGCATTACAACACAAACCTATAGCATCAAAACTGCACGTGTCCACACCCTGAACATGTCATGCAGAGAACAAATCTGTACAGTATCAAAGGAGCTCCTACATGTTCATCATATGATGTCCTCCATAATGTATTCTTTGGGATATTCACAATATTCATTTAGAAGAAAATCTTAACAGTACATAAATTGGACTTTTCACTTTTGAGACTTGAGACAAAAACACACAGATAAACTTCACCTGTCCATGTGAAATAGTTTTGTTTTAGATCTCATTTTAGAGCCTGTTTACTGTTTTCATCATGGCCTTCAGAAGTTGGTTTACTCCAGTCCTGCTGGCAGCTCTGTTTTAGGTGGTTGAACTAAGTGCGGAATAGGTATCAGTATCTCAAGATATCCCTCTCCCTGCATTGTTAGCCAGAAGCCAGCTGCTACTCCTAGAAATCTAGAAGGGTTTATACCTCTGCAACGTGGTGAAGGGAACTTGTATGTATTATATGTGGAACAAATTCTATGTACTGTAATTTTGAGGATATATTTACAGCCTTTTCTTGACTCTGTTCCTTTGTTCCTCCATTATCAGGTTTTTTTTTTTTTTTTCAATTTGAAAACAACATTGTTTACAAGAGTTTACATATTAAGGTGGAAAGAAGGTATTTGTATCAAAAGACTGAAATATGTTGAAGCTCGTAGTGGAAATCCTCCTCACAACATGAGCACAGTTGGATATGTGTGGCAATGAATCCACCCCAGTTGGATACAGGTGCAGGACAAAAGCAGCAAAAGAATGGTAGTTTGCACAAAAAACATTGTTAGCTCCCTAACATGTCATCCGGTAACGTTTTGTCCAGGTCTTTGCCAGACAAACAAGCTCTGTTTGATTTACAGATTATAGAATGTCATGTCAGATTTTGCTAAAGTGATATTGACTCAAGTTGTGTTTACAGTCAGGATTATAGTATCACCGTTGTATTAGCCATGTTTATCTTGGTAGGATGTTTAAGCCTATTGTTTTACCAGGTATATTTACAGTAATTTGGACTTGGCCTGTACTTTGTTAGTTTTGTGTTAGACTGCTTTAATTAGTGAGTGCCTGGCCTGTAAGTCCATCGACTGTTGCATTAGGGGGCTTCAGTGTGTTGGTGTGAGGTCTGTTGGCGTATAGAGTTGCATTAGCCAAGTTTACAGTGGTGTTAGTCCGTCAGTAGGGGAAGACACCGCTTATCAAAGGCTGCTCCTCAAGACCACGAAGTATAAAGTGCGAGTATCCTTGGTGGATTATCCTGTTGTCGGATTAGCAGAGTTTCCATGGTGATAGCACATGCAGACTTAACAGTTTCACAGTTTCAGATATAGAACTGGATGTGGACAGAGGGTCCTATGGGGGACTGGTTTCCCAAAGTAGGCTAACAGAGCTAGACTAACAGAGTGAGTTAGAAATAAAACTCTAGTTCTGTGTCATGTCTGAGTCAGGGTTTATAGGACAGACTCTGTGAGCTTGATACTGAATGAAACCTCTAGAAAGAATTGGGGGGGGGGGGGGGGGTGTCACAGAGAGGTGGTGGTCTCAGTGATTCAATCTGCTGAAATGGCCCCTTGTGGTTCGTTTGGGTGACAATGAACAGAAGCTAAGTCAATTAGTAAGCAGCAGACCCTCTACAGTCTTACTCTTCTGCAACAATGCCATAGATCACAGTTTATGAACTTCTTTTTAAAATACAAAATTAAATTATCTGTCATCTTTTCGGTATCGGCCATGAGAAGCCATGCTGTTGAGAGCACAACCGTCAAGAAAATACTAGTTCTTTAAGTTCCAGGCTTCCTAAAATGCCATTAAAAGGAAAGCGTTTCGGTATATTCTCCAAAACACTAAGATAATCTAGTATTACTACACTGTTTATACAGAACAGTGCTGGCCTGGGTACTTAATTATACACCAATCAGCCATAAAACATGACCACCTGGGCACCCTGGATCTGTTGGATCGGGACCACCAGGGCCAGCATTCGCTCCCAACGTGCATCAATGAGCCTTGCCCCCATGACCCTGTCTCCGGTTTAGAGTCGCTCAGATCCCTCACGCTGCCCATTTTTCCTGCTTTCTAACACATCAAGGACAAAATGTCCACTTGCTGCCTAATATATTCCAAACCACTGACAGGAGCCACGATAACCAGATAATCAGTGTAATTCACATTCTGTCGGTGCTCATAATGTTGTGGCTGATCGGTGTATATCAGCCGTAACATTATCATCATAATGTCTGCAGGGTCCAAAATGAACACCCAGTTTGGGAAGAAAATGCATTTGGAGTCACCTGCCAGATGGCCAGTGAATAATCTGTTTACATGTTATTAGAGATGTGGCAACACATTCACATGAAGTCTTTGTGAGAGGTGCTGTTTGAATGACACAGCAGCTCCAAGATCCTGGCTAAAATCCAAAGCTCAAAACCAAGTTGCAGTTTTATGGCCGCTAAAAAATATTTTGGTCGGTAAATTTTCTGTTTACTTGCAGTCAAACTGGCAGATGAGCCAAAAATGTGTTGTGTGAACTTTGTCCTTGATGGCTTGATAGTAATTTGCAATTCCATGTTTGAGACTTGAACTTGTTGAACATTAATGTGCTGTATTATTTTGTTCAGTGCCATCGGGGCTTTCACACAGCTACACGTAAGCTGATGAGCTCATCTAAAAGGAACTTGGCCACAGCACACATACAGAAAAAAATGCTTTTTCTTGCGTTAGTCTTCTCCTATGTCACACGTTTGCTTAAATGGTGCGATTGCATAGAGGAGAACACATATAGGATTTCACTGAAGCATCTTGGCTCTCCTACTCCGGGCCATCAGGGAAATATCGGCTTGCTGCTAAAATGTTTGGAGAAACTTGTGACTGAAGTCATGAATGTCAAAGGCTTTGAGAGAAATTTGATACTGATGTCTGAAGTGCTATAATGATGTAATGTCCAGATAGTATTGCAGAGTTTGTTACTAATATACTAATAAGGACATTTCTGATGCATTATTATTTCAGGTCATTGTTCATATTTTCTTTATTACAGATAACATCAAATCTGAGCCTGTGGCTCACGGTGAATGAATTTAACTGATAGCGTTAACCCTGAATCTCATAAAGATCCCTCGACCTAATCATAGCCATCCAGACATCCACTACGCTACTGGAGTTTAACGCTGGTCATAATGGTGGTACTTAATTCTGTACTATTTGGGCAGCACACACCCGACTAATAAGCAGAATAGCTTAATTAATAAGAAATCCCTCAAGTTTAATGGACTGCCCCCCACCCACGCAGAGCTGAAGCCATTGAACATAGGATGGAAGATATCAATGATAACTAAACAATGATTATTGTGTTCATTGTTTATTCGTATCACACACCGTAGGCACTCCTGTTAACAAACTAGTCGTGCAGTTACTGTCCCAGCCCTAAAGCTACCTCGAGTCAACAGATAAAACTATTCAATCTATTTAATTTATGGCAATATGGAGAGGATTTTTAAATCACCTGCCTGTAACAACTGTGTGTGTCCAGACTGCCTGTGTGCTCTTCATGTTTCTGTTTTGCAGTCATTGTGTTTATATTTGGGGTAGTTGGGCCATAGCTGGCAGCCTGGCACAAGGTCGTGTACTTTGGCTGCGGCTTTGTGTGTGTGTCTGTGTGTATTTGTGCCTGGGGTCTTTGAAACCCTAATACCAGCTGTTGAGTACCCCACATCCATGGGGTGTGTGGGCACAGCTAAATTTACCACTAATCACCATCATGAATGTAAAACAGGATTATTATATGTTCCTTTGTGCGTGTGGGTACACATGTCCAACCATTTATTTATTGTGGTGTTATTTGTAGGTCGAGCCAAATGCCACTATCGGGGAGATCAAGTCTATGTTCCACAAGAGCCGTGAGTGCCATCTCTCTGCGGGCTCTAAAGCCTCATAAATCAGATTTAAGATCAAACTAATCTTCAAGCCACGCACTTTCTGCGCCGTTTTAAGATGTTTGTGAAGTATTTATCTGTCTGTTTCAGATCCTCAGTGGTACCCAGCCAGACAGTCCATTCGCCTCGACCCCAGTAAGTCAGTGTGATCTATCAGTATACTTGAAGTGAATGTAGGACTGCTTCTCTCTACAATCTACTCATAATTTACTCATTAAGTGAATGTGTGTGTCTCAGAGGGAAAGTCTCTGAAGGATGAGGATGTACTGCAGCATCTCCCTGTGGGAACCACGGCAACCTTCTACTTCAGAGACCTGGGAGCCCAGATCAGCTGGGTCACAGTGAGTACAACACCGAGCAAACCGAGGGGAATATTTGCATGTGCCCGGTGGTTGTCTCCAACGCTCTGACTTATCCTGTCCAACTGTCTTTTCTTTCAGGTCTTTCTGACAGAGTATACCGGCCCTCTGGTCATCTATCTGATGTTCTACTTCAGGGTTCCCTTCATCTACGCACCCAAATATGACTTTACCACCAGTAAACACTGGGTCGTACAGTGAGTGTCTCTAACACGTCTTCACAAATAGTTAGGTGGAGCCTTCTTGTCCCGCAGCGGTTTGGTCACAGCAGGCACATGTGTCGTCTTTAAGTTGAGCATGTCTCAACTTTAAGGGAATAGTTTGACATTATGTGAAATACGCTTGTTTGCTTTCTTGCAGAGAGTTAGATGAGGAGATCAGTCCCACTCATGTATGTGTCTGTAGGCTCTTGATCTTGGTTGGCTTTCCTGCAGAGCTCTTTATACCATGCCATGTAACTGCAATCCTCTTTTTGTGTTTGTGCTTTTTGCAGTCTCGCCTGTATGTGTCACTCCTTCCACTACGTTAAGAGGCTGCTGGAGACGCTGTTTGTCCATCGCTTCTCTCACGGAACAATGCCGCTACGCAACATCTTTAAAGTGAGATGCATTCCCCAACACTCTGTCATATCTTGCCTTACATTACCACCACACCGGAGTCTCATTGACAGTGTTCCTGTCACATTCTCCTTTCCAGAACTGTACCTACTACTGGGGCTTTGCAGCGTGGATGGCGTATTACATCAACCACCCGCTGTACACACCGCCCAGTAAGCATGCATGCACCTACACATCCATACACTCAACACTCGTACACCTGTTGTAACTCCTTTTCATCAGTACTCATGTTAACTGTGTCTTGTTGCAGTCTACGGGGAGCAACAAATCCGACTGGCCCTCATTGTATTCTTGGTGAGAGTCTTTCTATCCTCGACACTTTTGTTCTGTAATTAGTTTGACTGATGAATATTAACAAACATCATTTAAGTAGTGTTTTTGTCCATTACTTTTAGTTTCTTTGTCATCCTTGTGAGTGTACTATGAGTTTTGTTTTCATTATCTTTTGCTCTACACTCTGTATTAAATCACTTGTGTGACTGTTTTCTTTCGTAGTTCTGTCAGATCGGCAACTTTTCCATCCACGTTGCTCTTCGGAACCTCCGTCCACCAGGTACACACACCTGTAATATACACACACACACACACACACATCCTTAAAGTCCAGGTGAAACGGAAATCAGAGTGCTATTTGCTTCCAAATACTTAGGCATTTCCTGTAAAAACAGGCAGCTAGGGAGGGATTTGTGAATGAATCTCCGCTCTGTGTCACTAAAAGTTGAAGATTGATTGACAGGTGAATGTCATGAGATTGTTTTTTAATTTTTTGGGTTGAATTCGTTTAGTTGATGCCAATGTATGCACGCGTCACATTTAGTTTTACAGGACGACATGATAAGGTTTTTTAAAAAGCAAATGTTCTCTGACATTCCCTTTCTTTTGCTGCCTCCATCCAGGCTCTAAGACGAGGAAGATTCCCTATCCAACCAAGAACCCCTTCACCTGGATCTTCCTGCTGGTCTCCTGCCCCAACTACACCTATGAGGTAACATCTTTCATTCAACAACTGATGGCTACGTTTTCCCCACATGAATGAATACTGCACAGCTGGAAGTTTTAACCCCTTGGGAGATGAGTCCATCTTGTTACACTATCTCATGTCTAGCTATTTGTATTGCATCATTGTACACTGAAAGTTATATTAGTTAAACCTTTGGCTGCTGCCCTCTTGTGGTTTGTGGTTGTGTAACATCCCTCCTCCTCCTCTCAGCTGGGTTCCTGGCTCGGCTTCACTCTGATGACGCAGTGCCTGCCGGTGGCCTTCTTCACCTTGGTGGGTTTCATCCAGATGACTGTGTGGGCCAAAGGGAAGCACCGCAGCTACCTGAAGGAGTTCCGCGACTACCCTCCTCTCCGCTCACCCATCCTGCCCTTCGTCCTGTAGAGGGCTACTTGACCAGTCCCTCACCCATTCAGCTCTTCCCGATTTGTAGGAGTCAAATACACCCCTACCTCTCCTCCCCCAGCGCTAACAGAGAGGGTGACCCTTGTTCCATCCTGCAAAATGTACACTGGAGCTTAACCAACCAAATAGTTTCTTCCCCTTCCTGTCTGCAGTTCCTGCCATGTTGAGTGAAAATGTAACACGTGTAACACTACACTTGCTGAAGTTGTTTTTAATGCCCACAAACAAACCCATTCTGATTGATTAATTGACTTCTGAGTGTTTGAGTTCCCAGAGCAGTCTTCACCTTCAAACAACCCAGTGCATACTGAATGAAGTACTGAGTAAAAGATATTAAGATGTCTACTACGCTTACGTCATTTTAAAGTTGTTTTGGGGCTGCGTTTGGTGATATTCAGCAAAACTTAAATTCTTCAGTTTTGATATCCAATAATCTAAATTTGAAATCATGACAGCATTTAATTTTGTTGACTTCTGAAGTAATTTATTAAAAAAAGGTAAACAAAAATGTTGTTTCCTTGTTGTGTTCCATGTGTCACTATGTGTATTTGTAGCTACACCACCACTCCTGTCCAAGACTGCTGGAGCTTCGTACACTGGGTGTACTGTGTAGAGTTTAAAGTGAATGGGACTGGGTCATTTAAATGTGTCATATTGATGTAGCATCACCAATAGGGAAAACGGTCAAGTAATACAGGACCAGTCATGGTTGAAATGTGCATTTGTCATCTAGATTTGGCTGCAACTGCACAATATGTTCAAACATGTGGCTGTTTGTCACAAATGCAAGTACAAGCACTGTTTCAGAGTCCTACAAATACTGAATATGTAAAAAAGACCATGGATACAATTTGGAGCAGGAAATAGTTTGTCTATATGGATAGAGTTGTCCTGAACCAGGGGACGAAGACTTTAGCCAAAATATACAAATATAACAATGAATCTAAATAATGTTTTTGTTGATGTCCTCCAGAGGATTACTGTATGTGTGGATATGAATAAGACTGCGGGGTGTTGAGCTTAAACAATGTTGTTTATTGTGAACAGCAGCACATATATACAGAGAAGAAGTATCAGAGGATCCACTGATCATGCAGCTGTAGCCTGAGCCTCGATTCTCTTCTTCCTCAGCTGGAGCCTCCTCTCTCTCTCATACTCCTTCATACGCATCACGTAGCTGGAGACAGAATAACACGGCGTACATTGTTAATGACGAGGATATATTTTAACAGGATAAAGGCATAATTGTTAAATCTTGTAGTTGAGGATCTAAAATGTACTTAAGTACATTTAACAGCTGTTTAATCTTTGAGACATAATGTTAGTTTTTGTGGAGCTTTTTCAAAAAGATTTCCATAAACTTGAAGATCTTTTTAAACCAATGTGGATGAGAAGTTCTGAAAATGATCACAAAATTTTTTATTTCACCATCTATAATTCCACAACTGGGCAATGTGTCAGTATTTGCATCATCTCTACATCTTTTGTGCTGATTACATTCATTCATTCCTCCTATTGGCTTTTTGATGCACTTGCAGTGGCGTGTTAAATGTGGTTGTGTTGGATCTCTACCGCTGTCTCCCCCGAGCACAGGCAGCCCCTGCTCTCACACACACACAGCTCAGAGTGGAGTAAAGAAACAGCGAGAGAGTTGACACCGGCTGCACCGTGCATGAAAACGAGTAAAACCGGCTGGCGTAAAATAAAAAATCAGATCAATAAAGCTCAACATAACCAATACCGATTAGTTAAAAGATGTCTTGATTGGCGCCAATACTGATCTGATGAGGACATTAGCGTCAGTTTCCCCTCTACACATAACAGCCTTACATACAGTGACAGCGAGTGAGTGTCCTGAAAACTTTAAACTGTAAACACTTACTCCTGGTGTTGGCAGTAGTCCCAGTCGTGTTTCTCATGCTTGCAGGCCAGGAAGTTGGGCCAGTTGTCCCTCTTGCACTTCATGAGTTTCAGGAGGTGATGGGCACAATAGTCCCGCTGCTCTATAGGCAGCTGGGCCAGGTTCATCTGCTCCTGGGTTGCTACCATCTCTGGAAAGGGGATACAAATGTTACTCTGCTGTACAATAAACGGTCGTTTTGCACCCTATTAGAGATGATCAATCATGGCACAGTGCCATTTAGATTGGATTAACTCACTCAAATGCCGTTCCATGCAACAAACTGGAGCGAGATTTTAAATGGTTCATTCCTTGTTTTGAAAAGGTGACCTTTCTGAAGTTGGGTCCACTGACACTGACTTCATGATATTGTACAAGCTAAAGTTATGAATCAGATTAATGTGCAAATCAAAAAAATTCATATATAAGGCTACATTAACACTGCGGGCCTTAGCAGTCAATTCAAATGTATTGCTCTGGTCTGATTATTTCTAATCATGTCTTTTTGTGGACAATGGCTGTCACTTCTCAGAGCAAACACTGACTTGTTACAATTGTCAAGTGTCACCCCAGTTCCACCTAACACCTCACTGTCCCTCCACTAATGCATACTAGTGACAAAAGTCCTATGTATTCTGATATGACTGATACAAGATGTTCACTCAAAGGTCGCAATACAAAATAAAGTCACTGTCACAATCTCTCTTTGCTGGTCAGAAATTAAACTTGATTCAAGGTGTCGAATTAAAAATAGCTCTCCAGCAGACATATACCGGTATGTGAATTATGGTTTGCATGTGTCTGTATCTGCACATGGCATCAATACAATAAGAATGCACTTCACACTTAGATATGATGGCCTGTGTTTGCAGTATATCTACATATAGTGTTTATTGCTTATTGAGAATAAACGTGGTAAACTGTGCTATATAATTTGTTGTCAACAGCAATACACCGAAACCAATTACTAAGCCTTAACGAGCCTTCTGAATTTACTAAGTCAGGTTTTTAATTCAATTCAATATTATTTGTATTTATTGTATTTGCTGAGATAACAAGTTCTCTCTCATGTCTATACTGTACTCCTTATGACCGAACAATTCTACCTAAATATGTAATTATTTTTTATAATAGAAATATTAGGATTACTTTAAAACGTCTTGTTACCGGGTTATCTGTACTATCCTGTCAGTCTTTGGAGGCTAACTCACTAGAAAAACAGCGTAAACTACCCAGTTCACTCACATCATCATCATCTTAATGTTACATTACAATAGCATTGTGTATGAGTAATATATAACCTATTGGAATCGGTTCTTCTATGGATCAACTAAAAGTGAATACACAGACTAGAACAGGACACTTGATCACTTCACTCCTCAGACAGCAGTTAGCTGCTGAGCTAACCACCATGTTGACGGCCATAGCACCAAGCTGATTCAGGCTAACGAGTTAAACCATCATAACAAACCAAAAGTATTTTAAATAACGTTAAAAAACAGATTGTATGATGCAGTATTGTGTTTCTGTGAGGCGGTAACTGCGGACAGACCTCTCTCTTTCCTTTCTGGAAACCCAAAGTCGGGGTCGAACTCATATTTCCTGGACGGGTCCGGTTCGGTGTCGGTCTCGGTGATATACCGTCTGCCCAGGTGAGCTCCCATGGCACCGACCACTTGAATGCACGGTTACCTAAAATATATGTATTTGCTTTGCCTCTGCAGCGTTACTCTCCTATATTTGCAGGCTGACTGTACTGTGTGCCATTCGGTCACCTCCACAAGCTCCTGCTGCTACTTCCGCCGCTCACCGGAAATAAACAGCACAGGAAGGTCTTCTTCTCCTGCTTCTTTTACGGCGGTTGGCACCCTGCTCATTACCGCCACCTTCTGCTCTGGAGTGTGAAACACAACAAAACTAAAACAACAACAAAAACACACACACACAGCCAAACGTATACTGTATCCTCTGTGCTTTACCTCTATCACCTGCTCCTGGTGATCTATCATATAAATAGAAAACCTCTGTCTTTACAGAAACACCTTCCTTCTGCCCAAATAACAAAGCTTCTGCTGGCAGGTGTCGTGTGTTGTTTCCAATAATTTATGAATTTATATTTATGAATATTGGTAATGAGAAAAGGACTGTTTCAGTTGTAAATATTTAGTGATGTAAACCATACACACATTACAGTTGAGCTCAATAATCAGTGTTTTCCAGCATGGCTGGATTACCACGTGGGTAACAGCACCAGGGGTCTCATTACAGAAGCTTATGACATTGGATTTATGGCATCACAAAATCATGTTTCCTAACTGAATTTGGGAACAAATTATCTCTATTATAGGAATTTAGCTATTACAGAGCAGACCAACTGAAGAGTTTCCTAAGTTAGGAATCCTAATTTAGGCTGGCACAGACCCTACCCTAAATTAAACAATTTGAACACCAAAATATTATGTTTAGGCTACTCCAGCCAAATGATAATGCTTTATTATATTTCATGTATTGAAGGGTATAAACTGCCAAGACTGACTGACATGATTATTGCCTCAGACTCATTGAAGATAAACGCCAGTCTTTTCTTGTCCATTATAGCAAGTTAGTTAGCCATAGACAAGTACAGTGAGACAGCCGCTGTCAAGGACACATGCAGTCCAATGTAAATGACATAAATCAAGTTTTCAGTTCTAGTTTAGGATTTCTTAAGATAAGATGCAAGGTCTGAGACGGGATAGAACACAGCCATGAGTTTAGGAATTGTGACTGTAATAGTATTTTTCTTTTTTATTAAACTTAAGTTAAAGGTCCAGTGTGTAACATTTAGCAGGGTCTATTGGCAGAAATGGAATATAATATTTGTAGTATAATCACCTTAAAATAAGAATGGTTGTATTTTTGTTACCTTAAAATGGAGTCCATCGTATTGAACAGTGTTGTTTCTACAGTAGCCCAGAACGTACAAACCAAACACTGACTCTATACAGGGTCTTTCCTGTGTTTCACGTCCATCATAGTTTCTTTTAACATGCGTGGAAGGAGAGCAGTATTCACATGGTTGCAATCTGCAACTTCACTGCCGGATGCCACTTAATCCTAAACACTGGTCCTGGAAGATAGACCAAGCAGTTAGGAAGGGAAAAAATATATATGTGGGTAAATATATTTTTGTGTGATTCATGGGGAACAATCTTGTGGCTCTCTGTCAAATTGTTACTAATAACATTACTGGTGGCTTTAGTAAGTCCTGGTAAGTCATCACAGTGAGCCTGTATATACAACACCAGAACCCCTGAAACTGAATCAAATAGAAACCAGTATTAAAACAAATAAATAAAAACATGCCACTACATAGGGCACAAGCTCTACCAGGTTAGCTCACAGGACGACCAGAAACCAGTTTCATTTAAGAGTACTCTAAACTATGCTCTTAACTTAACAACATAAATACTGCATTCAGTATTTATTTATTAAGATAAACCTTGTCAGAGGGATCATAGAGGCATACAAATAAATTTATTTATCACATTTTACACTCACACATACACACAACTTACATAATTTTCATAGTGCAAACATTACAGTGTGTGAAAACCCAAAGCTTTGAT